TTTAAAATTGTTAACTGCTTTTTTTTTTTTTTTTGAGACGGACGGAGTCTCACTCTGTCACTCAGGCTGGAGTGCAGTGGCTTGATTCCGGCTCACTGCAACCTCCACCACCCAGGTTCAAGTGATTCTCCTGCCTCAGCCTCCAGAGTTAACTACTCTTTATAAAAACCAAAGTAATATATTCTTGTGGCAAAAAGTCTGAACAGTTCAGAAACATATAAAGTGAAAAGTGGACTTTTCCATCCCTTCTCACTCTGGTTATGGAAAGCCCTTTCTGGTGACTCTGAAATTTTAAGGCAGAAGGGCTAACTGGTTTTTATCAATTTTTTACACATATTGTGATATACTCCTCATCAGTACTTCTCAAACATGAGTATGCATCAGAATCATACAGAGAACATGTTAAAACCACAGACTGCTGGGCCCCAGCCCTAGAGTTTCTGACCCCATAGTTTTAGCCCAAGATTCCGAGTTTCTTTTTTGTTTGTGTTTTTGAGACAGTGTCGCTCTCTGTCACCTGGGCTGGAGTGCAGTGGCGTGATCTTGGCTGCCTGAAACCTGCACCTCCCAGGCTCAAGCGATCTTGCTGCCTCAGCATCCCTAGTAGCTGGGACTACAGGCTAATTTTTTGTAGAGAGGTTTCACCATGCTGCCCAGGCTGGTCTTGAACTCCTGGGCTCAAGCAATCCTTCTGCCTTGGCCTCCCAAAGTGCTGGGATTACAGGCATGAGTCACTGCAACTGGCTGAAAAGTCTGGACTTCTAACAGGCTCTATGCCCATGGTGGCAGAGGGCACACCCTTCATTGAGTAGCACCATCCAAGCAATGTCCTGCCACTTGCTTTTCTACTTAGTGAATATCAACATACAACCTCAACCTCACTCTTTTTAACCACTGCATACTAGTCTGGTCTTTGGATGCCTCATAACATATCCAATCAGTGCCCTATTAATGGACTTAATGTTGCTTCCAGTTTTTCAGGTTTGGAAGCAAAACTGCAATGAACACACTTGTATGTATACTTTGAACACTTGTGACATTTATAACAGTGCATCTGATAAATTCCTAGATATGGAACCCTCGAGTTAATGGTTTGTGAATTAATTCTCATGTGTATTGCCAATCCCCTTCACTGGTGCAATTGTCTTCCCCCCCGCTCTGAGGATGTCTGTGTCCACACAGTGAGGGGTTGCCCACTTCAGCTGTTGTCAATCAAACTGGCGAAAAGATAATCTTCTCATGTCTTCATTTTGATTTCTTCTATTTTGACTGAGGGTGAGCATTTTCACCTGCTTGTTAACCGTTAGTATCCCCTTACCTGTTTATGTGCTTTGCCCGTTTTTCTATTTGTTTTTATTTTCCTTATTGACTTGTAAGAACTCATCTGTCATCTATGTTAAAAATATTTTTTTCCAGATGGTTGTCTTTAGAATTCAGGATATTACATTAAAAACCATTTTTCTTTTTCAGAGATGGGGTCTCACGGTGGTGCCCAGGCTGGCCTTAAATTCCTGGGCTCAAGTTATCCTCCCACCTCAGCCTCCCAAGTAGCTGGGACTACAGGCATGTACCACAATACCCTACATCATATTTTAATACAGACAATTTTTAAAAATTCTTTCCCTTTGTGACTCCTAGGTTTTGTGTCAAACTTTTCCCAATCCAAGAACATACACTTTTAGACTTTCAGATGTTTTCTTCTAGTAATTTTACGGTTTCCTTTTTACATTTAAATCTTTGCTCCATCTGGGATTTATTTCAGAATAAGAGATGAAGTGGGGAGCTGGATTTCTTTTTCTCCCCCCTTAACAGCTAGCCAGTTGTCCAATTTGATTGAATAATTCATCTTTTCTCCTCTGATCTAAAATGTCACTTTATCATATATTTAATTTCCATTTGTTCACGGGTGTGTATCTGGCCTCTACTCTGCTCCTTTGATCTGCCTGTCTGTTCTTGTGCCAGTACCCAACTATTTTATTACTGGAGCTTTCTACAACATTTTAGTAGCACTAGTCGTCCCTTATAATACTTCTTTTTCAGGATTTTCCAAGCTCTTTTTGCATGTTTATTTCTCCAGATGAACTTTAATATAATTTGTCAAGTTCAAAAGATCTTGTTGTTTTTCACATCTTCCAACAGATGTGATTTTCGGACGTCTCAGCCCACAGCCAAACAGAAACAAGTTGAGAATAGGGTGGGTTTGGTGGTCTGCCCTGGAGGCAGGCAACATAACGGTAACAGAAGTGATAGTTTATATGGAGAGAGTTGATGAAGTGATAAAGTACTATAAAAGTAGACACAAGAACTATGAAAATGTAGCCTTCATGGAATGAGCCTCTAGTGTGGGGCCAAAAAAGGCCTTGGATTTTCACTGTATTACAACCAGGATAGTGATGGACCCTTGTAACCACAACCCTGAGTCATGAAGACTCACATGTTCTGTAACCTCTGATTAAAAGCCCGGAAAGTGTGTAATATCCACTAGTGATTCCTATCCAAAATATCTCTTTTTAAGGTTTCAGATATTAATGTCTGGAAAACTAGTATGAAATGGTTCATTCTTGGATGGTGACATAAACATGACATGTTACTGGCCTCTCTATAGCTTTCTCAAAGCCCACCTTCAAATTCCAAGGAGCTGCCAGTTCTGGGATTTGAATTCACTCTTTTCATGGAAACAAAGCTAAGGGAAATGTCCCCAGACTTTCAGCCAGTTCAAACACAATAATAAAAAGAAGGTTTATCTCATACTGAGCATCTGCCTCCAACATATGAGGCATGTTACAGGCAGAGTAGATTTTAATCCTCAACAGCCCCGCTAGGTGAATGCTGTACTCCCATTATACAGAAAAACTGAGGCTCAGAGGGGTCAAAAAACTGGGGCAAGTTTAAATTAGTATGTGACAGCTCTCAGCTACCTTCACCTGCACATTCCACAGACCTGTCGCCTTCAGTTCACTCCCACAGGGAGGTTCGAAACACCACCAACCCTATTCAGACATCCCTTTGCAAGGCCCTGCCACCTGCCTTCCCAGTGCCCACCTAGCCAGGAGAGCCACAATGCACAGCAGGGAGGGTGGAGTGAGGTGCCAACCCGGCCCATCCAGGGAAGGAAGACAGCCCTCCAGCCACCCACTTGCCAGTGGCCCAGGTGGCAAGCCAGCCACCTGCCAGTCCCCTTCCCGATCAGGGATTCAGGAAGTGAAGAGAGTGCCCCTGGAAGTCAGGAGACACCTCCAAGATGAAGGCCCTGCCTGCCATAGCCTGACACAGCCTTCCTGTACTTCCTGTGTTACAGGACGCAGACTCTGTGCTTACCATACCACACCTTTGTCAGCGGTGTGGGCAGAGCCCAGCAGAGTCCTGGACACCCCAGGGAGTACGAGCTGTGCAGGTGACATAGGAGGAGGTGAAAGGGAAATGAACTCCCTTGGGAGTTCCCCATCCCAGAGGAAATAAAAGTCAAAGCACTCCTTTGTTTTTCCTTCCCAAGGCCTTATAAGGGGCTTTATGGGGCTTGCCTGGGATTGAGGTACAGCAGAGGTGGGAGGGTGATGGCCTCCAGGCTGAGAGATCCTGGGGCAAAGGTGGAACTATATGGTCATGAACATGGGCACGTTCTGAACTCTGTTAACCCCTAGCCCAGGACCTGGCTGGCTGTACAATCCGTCACCCTGCATCCCGTAGCAGAAGAGCCTACTACGCGCAGAGGACAGTACTGTTGGGGTGGCAACTGAAAAGGGGCCTGGGTAGAGGCGGGGTTTGCTGGAGGGGTAACAGAGTGTGCGCGGAGGGGAGAGGATACGGGGGTCACAGCCCAGCATCCGCAACCCCGGCGCTCAGAGGAGCCGCGCGCTCCGGAGCTCGGCGCGCGCGATCAAAGCCGGCGCCGCACGCGCACGCGCGCCCGCAGCCGCTCCCCCGCCCGCGCGGCTCCGGCTCCCGCGCGCGCGCACTTGAGGCCTCCCTTGTGCGGCTCCTCCATTCGCTACGTGCAGAATGGTCCGTCGGCAGCAGCTGCAGCGCCGGGTGGGAGGGGGAGGAGGAGGGGAGGGGGAGGCGGCGCCCCGGTCTCGGGGAGGGGCCGTGGCGGCCCTGGCGAGAGAGGGGTGGGGGCGAGGGGCTGGGCCCCCGCAGCGGGGAGGACGGAGGGAGAGTCCGGGTGGGCTTGATGCTCAGCCTTCGCCCTCCCCCGCCCCCGATTCTTTCTGCAAGGCCATTACGGCCATCTCCCGGCCTGAGCGTCCTGGAACCAAGCCTACCAAGAGGGGTTTTCTCCGTGTTGTCTCCTCACCAAAATCCAGAATCCAGACCCAAGAAAGAACCACTCCTGCTGACCCCTCCTCCCGCTTCGCGTCCCAACTGCATTCCCAAGCTTTCGTGGAGGTGACCCAACAGCACGCACTTCCCCACTCCGCCTTTCATGGGGTGGGGTCCCCAAGAGGTACTGCAGACTCACTCCCCTTTTCATCTCTTACCCCACCTGGAGGAAGAGGCATGGCCAGGATGGACACCAGAGCACATTTCCCAGCATTTCCAAGGGGAAAGGCCAGTATCTCAGCATGCAGACTCCAACACGGCCACAGAAAGGTCGAGTGGCGCCGAGGAGCAGACTGCTGCCCAGGCCCCTAGGGCCACTTCCAAAGGAGTGTGATAAGGACTAGGTTGCTTTGGACTCACTCGTATTACAGGGCTGCGCCCTATACACCTGTTTGTAAAGGGTCCTCCTGGAATGTAATGGTGAGGGACCACCAAGCGGTGGACCAAGGATTCCAAACAGACCAGCCCCCTGCCCTGCCAGGAAACCAGATGTGGCCCAGATGTCCATAGCAGTTCCTCCCACAGGGTGGGACACCAGCTATTCTGTGCAACCCCTCCCAACCCTTCTTCCAGGGTCAGGGAGGAAAGCTGGCGACCTCCGTTGTCCCTTCCCATTTGGGCTGCTAGAAGGGAGCAACTCACTCATCCTCCTTTTCCTTCCCAGAGCCACCTGGGCTTACCTCTGCAGCAACCACCTAGGTTCAACCTGTGGTCTAACCACAAGACCTCTGCTGACAGGTTAAGTCAAGATCGCCGGGAAGGAAGACATCCAGTTTCATTACACACACATACGTACACACACACCCGACACCGACCCATGCGCCTGGGCTCTGCACAGTGGCTAGACCCCAAAAAGCAGATTCTCCGGTTCCCTCCCTGGTGGCCTCAGTCTTTTGGCGGCGCCCTCTGCTGGCCACTATGAAGTGCAGGAAAAAACAGTATGAAGATAGACGCTTGGTGGATCTAGGGAAGGGGACAAGAGGCAGAGAAACAAGTGAAAACTGGGAACTGAGAGCAGCGCTGGGCTGGCCATAAACAAGTGAGGCATGATGACGCCTTCCTGGAGGTGGGGAGTTTTGAGTCAGCTTTCCATGGGCCTAGGGGGACAAGCCAAGCTGGCAGATAGGGGCTCAGAACACCACAGGGGTGGCGCTTCTTGTGTGCTGAGCCCTGCCCCTGTCCTGGATGGCTCACACACCCACTAACTCTGATGGCTGCTGTGCCCTGCTTGGGGGTCCTTCCTGTCAGCCACCATTGGGATGGTGGGTGGGGAGGAGCAGCCATGGAAACCCTGATCCTTCTAGTCATAGCCTGGCTCATTGGGACCATGAGAGGTGTCCCCAAAGAGAAGCCTCTGATTGACAAATCTCTGCCCCACCCCACATACACACAGGATGGCCCAAGCCCAGGTCCCTGGCATGGTGGGGCAGGGGCCTGAGTCACAGCCTGGTGTGACCCTGCCCAGTCCCAGGAGTGGCCAGCTCGCCCAGAGGTGAGACCCAGGTCAACAATCCATCAGTCTGCCTCCTGCCGCCAGGTATCCTCCCCATCACATCCTGCAGGTGGGGTGGGCCAGGACAGTGCTGGGCAGAGCTAGTGTTGGGCCTGTGCCTGGGGGCCACCAAGGGGGCCTGGAGAAAAGAATGGAGAGGTTTTCACCTCCTGAGCAGCAGGAGGAGCCAGGTGGGGTTAAAGACAGGAGGTTTTGGTTGGACCCACAGGCATTCGGAGTCTCTCCCTGCCTGCTGGGTGAGGGAGGCAGCAGGTGCCAAGAACTGCTAGCTTCTAGGACCTGCCCCTCAAGTTGCTTCTCCTGAGGAGGGGCTTCTAGGGTCACCCTCAGGGCCTTGACATCTGCACAGGCCCTTCACCAGGGACTTACCTCCAAAGGCAGCTCCTGCTCCCAGCCTTCACAGGCCCCACTAGGGCCCAAGTCCCCAGACCCAGCCTCAGTATGCAAGCTGGCCAAGTCAGAGAGCCTGGCTGCCTGGACCACTCCCAACCAGTAAATGGCAGTGTGGGCTTCCTCCATTCTGCCTTCCCCGCCCCACTTCATTGATTAACTGACTTCCAATTTACTGGCCAGGCCGGCTTCCAGACCCTGCCTGGGTAAAGAGGACTCCCAGAAGCAGTGATTGAAGGCCCAGGAGGATACAGAGAGCCAGGTGCTTTAATTGGAGGTAATTAGTTAATTTACTCTGAAAGCAATAGGGCAGGGCAGGGACAGGGGGAGTAGAGGGGAGGGGAGGAGCTAGGGGGCTGTGACCTAACTGGGCTCAAACTCTCAAACTCTGGTCAGCCTCCTTCTGGACCACAGCTACCCTGAGTGTACACACCCACTTAGGAGACCCTCTCCTGGGCGCCAGGTCAGAGCAAGACCCAAAGCAGACTAGGGTGGCTTTACAGAAAAAGCAGGTGCCCTGGGGTGGTGGGAACAGACCTTTTGAGGTTAGGTAGGTGTGGACTGGCATGAGGGGATTGGAGAAGTGCAAGGAGCTCTGGGATGGGAACTGGTCCGTCTCCTGTCACCGATACTTCCATCCCTCCCAAGGTCATTGCTCCCACCAAAGTTAGTGGCCCAGCCCCCTCCTTTGGTCAGTGAAATCCCAGGGCAGCCCATTTTAAATACAACGGGGCCTGAAGGCTAACTTCTGGCATTCCTGCTTTGGGAAATCATTCCAATAACCGGGAAAAAAGGGGGCCCGAGGACAGAGCCCCTCCCGGGTCCCAGGGGGCGTGTCGTCGGCTCCTATGCGTCGCCGGCCGGCGGCGTGGCGGGGACTCTGGCCGGCAGCCTCCCGCGCCGTCCGGAGCAGCTGACCCGCTGGCGGTGGGCCAGGTCGCGGCGGGGCCTGGAGGCAGCAACGTGCGGCGCGGCATGTCGCGGGCACCGCGGCAGGGAAATGTGGGGGCGGGCCGGCGCGCCCCTTCCCCCGCCCTACGCTGGCCCATTCATAAAACCTGCAGGCGCTGCCCGGCCTGGCAGCCTTGGTCTCCTAATTGCAAACTCATTAAGGAGTTTGCATCTCATTTGCATGGAAATCATTTCCTGGCCCTAAACAGAGAAACTTCCCGCCCCTCCACCAGCCCCTCTCTGCCCTGCTTTACCCATGCACAGTCTGGGAGAGGAGAGGGGCATATCTCTGACCTGCACCCCTTCCCTGGCCTCACCACCACCCTTCCACTTTAGGAGTTGGGGAGGGGATTGGCAGAACACCCACCCAGCCAGGAGCCCTGCCTGTGCCCCAGGTGAGCCGGCCCTGCCCTAGTGGGTCCAACTGAGGGGAGGCGCCTGCCAAGTCATTTGCCCCCCGGCCTGACTGTGCCCAGGGAAGGGAGGAGGCGGTCGGCAGTTGGCCCCAGCAGCTGGTTGTACCTGGCAGGAGGTGGGTGAGGCTTTTCGTGCCCAGCCTCACGTACGTGCCCTGCCACAGGCCGTGCCCCCACCCCCACACCCCTCACCCCACAGAACAAGCGCCTAGTGACTGCAGAAACAGACACCCAGTCATGGCACACAAAGGCACCCACACCAGGCCAGCCATCATGGCTGCCACCCTGGCAGCCACCCTGGAGGGCAGACAGATGCCTTCACAAGCCATTTTGTCTTTCTCCAGCTTGGTGCCAGGACTGGGGGTGGGGGAAAGGGTTTCTCCTGAGAGTTCTCTGAGTAAGGGGGCCCATAGAGGGGTTTCCTTATGTACCCCAGCTGTGGCCTCTTGCCCCTTCTCTCCTGTAACCCATGTTTATAGAGGCCTCCAAGTGCTCTACCCTGCATGAGGACCTGCCCAGGCGAGGGGGTCTCAGGAGGGGAAGTGGGAGATAAAGCCCCTAAGGAAGGGACACCTAAGTGCCTCCCCAACCAGGGTCTGTCCTTCCTGTCCCAAGGGTGTGTGATGGAGGGAGTGCTCTCCAGTTTCCTGGGGGTTGGTGGGGGGTGGTATTCTAAACCTTTGGAAATGGAATAGAACTGCCTAAAGTATATGAAATTAGATACTATTTGGGACACTATGTCCTGGTTCTGTATGTCCTGGGACAGTGTAAAAAGTGATCACAAAATTTTCAACATCACAGTCTAAAATAAAAACCTGCCTCTTGTCTTCCTTCCCAGACATATCCCTGCTTACGCTTCCCATCTGCCCACACTCCCACCTGCTGTATCTGAAGTTTCTCCCTTCCGTTGCTAGGGCATAAAGGGGTGGGCAAGGATGTTTTGAAACACTGACCACACATTCGTCCTGAGTATGGCTGGACTGACCCTACCCTCCCAGCTCGTGGAGCAGTTGGGTTTCAGGTGCCATATGTGTGCGTGGTTCAGGGGTGCTGGAAAAAAGTTTTAGAATGCCTATTTATTTTTCATCTAATCCTTTTTTCGTTTAGTGTGAGTGTGTTTTACAAGGTAAACTATATAAAAATATACTCGTATGACAGGTGTGTACTCAACAATCTTTTTTATTGCTAAGGGCACATGATCAAAAAAACTTCGGAGGTCACTGGCCTAGACTTCAGGTGGGGCAGCTGTGGGCAGGGGATGGCTTGTCTTGTCCATCTAAGTATCTAGCCTGACACATGACTAGTTCAGAGCCTGGCAGGGAGCAGAGGTCAGGGACACAGCATTGAATGAACAAAGTCCACCCCTAGAACTGACAGATGAGGAAACTGAAATAATTCTGGGGTGGGGAGATTGCTCAGAGGAGGACGTGGGCAGGTTGAGAGAGTCTCCCCTCATTGCTGCTATGTCTGCAGCCTGCCCGTGTCCAACACCCAGCACCCACCCAAATCCTACTTCTACCCACCCCAGGGAGCACAGCTCCCTCCTCTGCCTGCCGGCAGAGTGGCCACCTGTCTTGAGCGCCTTACTGGATCCTGATTAGCAGAGCCAGACAGGGTTGTCACCTGCCACATCCCTCTACCTGGCAGAAAGTCTGTTGCCAGCTTTGTATCCTAGAACTCTCTGGAAGTCAATCTGGTGTAGGAGAAAGAATTTAGGCTCCAGACAATCCTCATCCAGCTTGGTGACCTTGGGCACAACACATAACTGGTATAAGCCTCAGTTTCCCAATCTGTATATGGGGACCAATATTTGTACTTACTATACACGGTTGTTGTGGATGTTGAGTAGCCCACTGTGTGTATAGGGTCTGGCATATACTAGGTTTTCAGTAATATTCCTGTCCCTCTGTGTGCAGCAGGTGCACCACAAAGAATCTGTTGAATTGTGATTTGACATCAGCATGGGAAGGAGAACTCTGAAGGCAGACAAACGAGCCTTTGCTCCCTCCTCTGCCTGCTGGCACGGTGGCCACCTGTCTGAGCTCTGTCCTGCGCCTTCCTGCAGAAATGAAGCAGCCACTCTGGCAGCCTTGGGTCCTCTCCAGGTTCATCCACTTTGTGGTGGGGTGTCCTCCCCCTTTTCTCCCTTATAGCTCCTTTCCCTCTTTCAGTGCTGCTTTCACTTCAAGCATGAGCTGAGGGTGACTCCTGGTGGTCACTCGTATAACTGCAGAATCCTGACCATTGACACCTCCGTCTGGAAGTGCATGAAGTCGAGTGTGCAAGGAAGTCATTCTTTACACTTTCCCTACACCTCCCAACTCCCTGTCAGGGCCCTGGGGAGCCTCAGCGGTGACTACTCCCCGGGGACTCCACCCTCTGAAGTTCCACCTCTAAGGGCTTCACTTGCCTGATTAGTGGGGACAATCAAGGAGGCCTCTGCCCAGATCCTGCAGCACCAGGCCTGGCTCCAGGCAAAAAGCAGGACAGTGGCTACTCTTCCCTCAAGTGCTACTGAACAC